ACAGTTGTAAGAAGTTTAGGGACCAGCAATGTTTAGGAAATAGTTTCCATTGACAGAAGGGCATAACTTAGATATCACATCTATCTTTTATTATCTGTTTCCTTTAGGAATGCAGTTTGAATTAGTTAATGNTTTCTGAGAGAAACTTACATATTCAGAATAATTCTCCCAGTAGCTGTACTGTTTTCATTACTACATTTTTATGTCATGGTTATATTCAAGAGCATAATAAGGAATGTAGGACTGTTAATACCCCTCATTTTATGGTCCTTTCTTTGAAATCCAATGACATAATGTCCTGATCAGAATTAGGGTAAAGAATGTAGGATGCTTACTTTTATATTAACTTACTTTTTTCCCCTACAGACTTTTTAAGTCATTGGTCTGTGACCAGCTTTTTTGTTGTTGCAGATTTGTAATATTTGTTTCACTAAAATTCTCATCTAAAAATTATGACATAGTTACGGTATTTAAGCATGATACAATTACTTCTGTCACATTTACTCTCTGTTATAATAGCAGAAGTACCTGTAGTTTCTTTAGTCCAGGTATAATTTAGTCAACATGTAACACTGCATGTTATACTACTTACCTAGTATTATAGTCCAAGTCTAAATGTATTTCTCAGAAGTAAAAACTTGCAATAGCTAGACACACTTAGGATCATGCTGTAGACAAGGATGTCCTTTGTCACCTCTGCTTTTTTATTTTAGTTCTACAAGTTTTGAAGAGAAATATCAGACAGGATGAGAAAACAATAGGCCCGAAAATTTAAAGACTTATAAAATAGGGTCTTTTGCTAATGCTTTAACCTTGATTATACAAGAACCCAAGAATGGTATAGAATATTTAATGAAGAAACTAAAAGAGTTTGGTGCATTAGCTGGATTTTAAAATAAATAAGCAAAGAAGAAAAATGTCAAATAAAAATATGACCACGTTTGATCAAGAAACCCCGATGAATAAAACAGGTTTTAAAATTGAGAAGAAGGCTAAATACTTGCGGGTTATATATTTTTTTTTTCTTTTTTTCAACAAAATTTTTTATTAGTTTTATTTTACATGGTGGCAAGGCCATCAATTAATCAAAACAAAATCATATTTGTACAATTCAAATTATTTCAATATAATTAACTCAGTTATACATATAACTAATCTATTATTATTTTAATATATCCTACTTCCCCTTAGGTCAATTCTAGTAACTCTATTTCTATACTCCTCCCACCCCCATCCCCACCTAACCCCCCCGGACTTCCCAGAACTGATTACAGGATTAAACATTCATCTTCCCAAGTCTATATAAAACTACCCATTATAAACTAATCTAATATAAACGTACTTTAACTCATAAAAAAAAAAATACTCAAATATAAGCTAATATAATCTATCTAAATATAACCAATCCATCCTCCCAATCTCTTCATCATACAAGAAACTGTGCCATATCTTCAATTTATCAATTATATGTAATATATTTCATCACCCCTACACTTATATATAATATACCATCACCCCTTCAATTAATATCATAATCAAATGTTTGTGATCTTTTAAAATAATAAACATTACAAAATACCCTTAAAAAATAAGCAATAATATCCCCCAACTGCTTCCCTTGATGTGCAATACCATAATTTTCCATTTCTATAAGTATTATAATTGCATCCCAAAGTCACAGCTAAGTCCATCATTGCCTCTTCTCTGTATCCTTGTAAATTTTCTTTAGTTGTTTCCAGTCCAATTTCCGCTTTTACAGCTATTTCTTCCACTTCTCCC